GCCACTGATCCACCGCGTCCCTCTATTTTATTGAAAAGCCCCTAAATTTTAAACCTCTGGAGATAGTTGGGAAGGGATCTCAAACGCACGCTGACAATGCCGAGGTTACTGAAAAAGCTCTCGCCGAATTACAAATACTAAAAAGGCCATTTTGACGGCATCCAGAATTTGAAATTCAAAATCGCCTGTTTTGGACAGCAAGCCAGTCCAAACCTGTCTGCTTCTGAATTTTTGCATTGTGTTTTTTTTTTTCTTTTTTCCGAATGTGTTCTTTGGAACTGCCAAACCCCCTTAGCTGAAGCAGCAGGCTATATTTAAAAAAAAAAAAAAAAAAAAAGAATTGCTTGGACTCTCAGCCACTTAAAAGAGGGTTGTGGCCAAACCTGTCTACCAGGACGACATTTGGAAGATTACCGATGAGTCCTGCATTTTTTCCACCTCTTAAAAAACGACAACACCCATATGCAAAACTCCCCTACTCATCTAGTTTTCAAACAATGATCATGCATGTCATTTTCCGCTATCGGGTTTGGAAAGGGGAGAGAAGAAAAATGTAAAAAAAAAAAAAAAAAAAAAAACCTCGCTTGTTAAGTTGTTTTTTTTTTTTTTTTTCTTTTTTCCGAATGTGTTCTTTGGAACTGCCAAACCCCCTTAGCTGAAGCAGCAGGCTATATTTAAAAAAAAAAAAAAAAAAAAGAATTGCTTGGACTCTCAGCCACTTAAAAGAGGGTTGTGGCCAAACCTGTCTACCAGGACGACATTTGGAAGATTACCGATGAGTCCTGCATTTTTTCCACCTCTTAAAAAACGACAACACCCATATGCAAAACTCCCCTACTCATCTAGTTTTCAAACAATGATCATGCATGTCATTTTCCGCTATCGGGTTTGGAAAGGGGAGAGAAGAAAAATGTCAAAAAAAAAACAAAAAAACCCTGCATGTTAAAGTTGTTTTTTTTTTTTTATTTATTTTTTTAAATGATCTTTGCAGGGATTTTTTTTTTAAAAAAAAACCCTCTATTTTTACCTGCCCTGGTTTGTTTAACAATAGATACTTTTTACTCCGTTTCTGCAGACGGGCTGCTGGATGCGAAATAGGATGCAAGGGGTGAAAGAGAGCTTAGAAAGAAAAAAACAGAATCAGCTAAAGCAAAGGAAGGAATACAGAGTAAGGATGAACAGAGGAGGGTGCAGGAGAGAGCGGAAGGAAAATGGGAAGAAGGAAAACCACGATCAAATCAGCGTATGCCTGGAAGTCAAATGTTTTTTCAAACACAACAATGTTAAAATGTGTGGATTTCAACTCCCAGAATTCCCCAGCCAGCCTGCTTTAAGAGGTGCTGACTTCAACTCCCAGAATTTATGCTGGAAAATGGGAGAGAAGTACTATGGGAGTTGAAGTTCACACATCTCTTCCAGATTGAAAAATGACTTCTCCAGAAAAACAGCTGATTTAGCTGAACACTGGAGAAGCTTACGTTCCCATGCTCCACGAAAATCAATTGCATAAAAAATGGCCGTGAACACATGGTTTGGGGAGAGTGGGGAAAATTTGGGAGGATCTCAAAATGACTTCCACACGTTGGAGATTTGGGAACGGGGCAATGGGGAAATAGCTGTTCTGTCTTGGTTGATTTCTAAAGCTTTACCGCAAAAGGGGGGGAGGAGGGAGAACGTATGGTTGGAAAGGACCTTCAGGTGCAGAGCGGAGATCCAAGCTGGATGGAGGAATTCTCTACCCGAGGAGGAAATCCATCCAAACACAAATGATTGGGAGATTTGGCAAATGTTTCCTTTCCAGGTGAGTCAATCGGAAGGAGGAACAAGTTGCTTCCGATTGACTCGGAAGGGGGGGGGGGGGCGGAATCTAACAGAACATGGAGATGTTCAGCTACCAAGTGAAGGATACAGAGTCCCTGGGGCTTGGAGATAAAAACCCTGAAGGGCTTAGAGGATGGAGGAGGAAGTTAGGGAAGAGGAGGAGCGGGAAACGGGAGGACAGCAGAGGAGGAGGGGGGAAAGGGAGGAAGGAAAGGAAAAAGGAAAGAAAAGCAAAACACAGGAGGTGAACAACAGATAATTTAGCATTTCCACTATGCCACGGGAAAAGCTTAACTCCTTAATATTTTCTGCTACTTGCAGGTGGAGAAAACAAACAAAGGAAAAATGGCTGTAGCCACTCCAGAACCCACAAATTCAAAAGAGGACTTTGGATGCTGCTGAATTGTGATGGAGCCGTTGTCATTGTTCTTTTAAAAAAACAAGCAGGCCAAGGACGAAAAGGAAAGGACAGGGAAAAAGCCATGGCGCTACAAGAAAACATCTCGGCTTAAAGCATCTGGGAGCATCCAGCCTCCCTCCCTCCCTCCCTCCCTCCCCCCAGGGAGGCTATCTAGGAGAAGGATGTGGGTTATGAAGCCTCTTCCCCCCCACCCCCTCCATCTCTCTCTCTCTCTCATTCTCTTGAGCGGGAGGACTGGTGGGCAACCTTCAGGGAAATGGGGGGGGGGAGCTTAGGCCTTGCTCTCCTCCACTTTGACAGCTTGAGGCTTGATGGCGCCTGTACGGACTGGCTTCATCTGACCAGCGGAAGGAGCATCCTGAAGTTTCACGGCTCCCAGTCCTTTGTTCTCATCCACTCGCTGTTTTGCCTGTCAGTCAAAGGAGGAGGAGGAGGAAGGGAGAATAAGAAGGGGAAGGAAAGAAGGAAGAGTAGGGAATGGAGGAGAGGAAGGAGAAGAGAAAGGGAAGGAAAAAGGAACAGGTAAGTAAAGAAGGGAGAACAGAGAGAAGAGAGAGGGAAGGAAGGAAGGGAGAGAGAAGTAGGAAAGACACAATCAGGGGAAGATCATCTTGAGTTTCCTTCTCCTGTTCTCCCTCTTCCCAGAACTGAGTTGCCATTCCTCTATTTCCCTTTCCATTCCTTCCTTCTCCAAGGGAATCCCTTCCTTCCCTAAGGCCTTCTCCACAATCCTTCGTAGAGCTTCAAAGTTCACCGAGGGGTTGACAGAGAAGGACAGATTAAGTCCTGGACCCTGCGTCCCAGAATCCCCCAGGAGGCCTTCTCCTATGGTTGTCATCTCACTTCTCCTGGTGGGGAAAGTCAGCTTTGATGTTGCAAGCTCGGTTCTTGAGAAGGGAGCTGGTGTAACCGCCACTTAGGACGCATGTCCAACTTTACCTGTTGAATGTAATGCCTTTGTACAGAGCTCATGCCGACGGCCGTTCCGGAGGACTTCCCATTAGGGCTGGCAGAACTGGGCCTGGGAAAAGGGGAAGGATATGGTGGTGGAAGATAAGAAACAACGCAACATAAACCATCATTCACAAATTCATGGATTACTGCTTTGTCATGGCAAAGGGCTTGCCTAGCTCAACGAAGCTGTGAGCTATCCTGGCAAGTCTCTTGGACTGGAAGGCCATNGCGGTTTTGTGGTGGAACCATTGGGTCCAGCATAAGACTGTTCACCCAAGCTCCCCCTCCTCCTGTAGTGATAGAAGGTGAAACTCATTATGACGTAAAAAAATCTTAGACTCCAGGCTGTATAGGGGTCGATTACAGTATTTAGTGCATTGGAAGGGGTACCCTTTGTCCGAAGCTACTTGGGTGAAAAGATGGGACCTAAAAGCGGGTAAGTTAGTAAAACAATTCCATGAGAGGTTTCCCAATAAGCCAAAGTGTCCCCTGGGGGGGGGGAGGTGGTTAATTTTGTTATGTTAACTTTTATGTTATTCTTTTTTACAGGAAACATTTTTCTTCTGAGGAGAGGCCGTTTGTCAGCTAGTTCCTTTTAGGATCTTTGGCCTGCTACCCTCTCTCTTATTTTACTATGCTGTTTCATTCGTGGGGAATTGGGAGCGGGAATAGTAAGGAGTAGAATGTGTTGTTGTCAAAATAAAAAAATTCTTTCTAGAAGCCCAAGGTCATCTTTTGTCTCCGCACTTCTGCACATGACCGAAACTGGATGGGTGGAACTGCCAGCGTGGCAGTGGAAGATTGGACCATATGGTGGACTTCTGGGTGTGGGGGCAAGATTATGAACTTTCAACTGGGTGGAAACCCTGGGAAGCTTTCAAATTCGGGTTTCTACAGATGTGCCAACATGTCTCTCTTAATAAATTGGAACTTTGAGGAAAGCTCTGCCTTGAACTCCGATTTAATTTTGGATGATATTTGGAACGCTGACAACAGGTGTGAGTGAGAGAGAGAGAGAGAGAGAGAAAAGAGATGTAAGAGAGAGAGATGATGTATAATAATATAATAATATAATAAAATATGAGGATTACTTAAATTTGATAGGTTTGATAGAGATTACTAATATTGTTACTGTGAATTGGATTAATATGAATGGTACCCAGAACCAACTCTGTTCACATACAATATGGATGTAATTTTTTAAAAAAATAAAGAAAATTAAAAACAACCATGGCAAGAATCGTCATGAATTGAGACAAAACTCACTTAACTGTATTGCTTAGCAACAGAAAATTTGGGCTGTTATGGTCATAAATTGAGGGCTACCTGTATGAATTTGTGTCTCAACAGGGATTGTAACAGCAACCCATGGAGAAGACAAAACGGCATCTTTTTCTCTTCCCAAGCCAGGGCTGTTTCACTCTGCCTGGGGCAGTTTGGTGTAGTGGTTATGGTGCTGGCTTAGAAACCAGCAGACTTTGAATTCCAGACACAAGAGCTGCTTCGGTGGAGAAAGGCACAAAAATTATTACCCCGCGTCTTCTATAAACCTCAGCGTGGCTAATTTACCTAATCCTCCTATTTTCCCTACAACCACCCTGTGAAATGGGTGGGCTGAGAGACCTGGCCAATAGAGCGATGCAACCGAAATAAAGAAGGTGATCCTGCGCCGCTTCTCTCTTCCGAGGGTGGCCTTCCTCCCTCCGCGGCCCCGAGCAGAAACGGCACGGAGTGACGCAGGCGCCGCTTCGCCTACGGCTCTGCCCAACCACCCGGGTCTTCCGCGGGCCTCGGGGAGACGCCGCGGGGCGGGGCGGGGCGGGGCGCGACCCCGAAGGCTCCCTAGGCAATCCTTGACGACGGAGCCCGGCGTCCCCGCGGCGGGCGGATGGGGCCCCCGATGATTTTCGCTTCCCTCCGCCGGGACCGAGCCCAGCCATGAGCGGCAGCGAGGCAGCGCGGCTGCTAGACGCCGTCGACTTCGCGGCCCGCAAGCACTCGGCGCAGCGGCGCAAGGATCCGGAGGGGACGCCCTACATCAACCACCCCATCGGTGAGGCTGTGGCGCAAGGCGGGAGCGCAAAGCGGGCGGGGGTAACCCTGCCCTCCGCTCTCCCCCGCAGGCGTGGCGCAGATCCTGGCGCAGGAGGCCGGCGTGGCTGACGTAGCGGTACTGCAGGTGAGCCGGGGGGCGGCGGCGGCGGCGGGGGAGGGCCACTCCCGGAGGGCGCTGAGCCTCTCTCGCCCCGCAGGCCGCGTTGCTGCACGACACGGTGGAGGACACGGACGCCACCTTCGCGGAGATAGAGCAGCGCTTCGGGCTGGAGGTGCGGCGCCTGGTGGAGGAACTGACCGACGACAAGGCGCTGCCCCGGGCCGAGCGGAAGCGCCTGCAGGTGGAGCGCGCGGCGGGGCTGAGCGCGGGTGCGCGGCTGGTGGCGCTAGCCGACAAGCTGCACAACCTGCGCGATCTGGACCGGCGCGCGCCCGAGGGCTGGTCCGAGCAGCGCGTGCGCGAGTACTTCGCCTGGGCCGCGCGCGTGGCCGACGCCCTCCGTGGGAGCTGCCCAGAGCTGGAGGAGCCCCTGTGGCGCTTGCTGGCAGGCAGGGGCGTCTCGCGCTAACCCGGAAGCGTCGCGGCGGAAGTGCGGAGCCGCGAATCCGCCTACTTCCGGGTGGAGCTCGGGCACCGCCACAATGGCCTCACGCCACCCGCCCGACCCGCCGGATTTCGGCTTGCTGAAGCGCCTGGCGCGGGACCAGCTGGTCTACCTCCTGGAGCAGGTGGGCGGAGGCGGGGGCGGGGCGGGGTCCAATCGCGAGGGGCGGCCCTGACCCGATTCTCGGTTCCGCAGCTTCCCGGCAAGAAGGACCTCTTCCTGGAGGCTGATCTGATGAGCCCACTGGACCGTATCGCCAACGTCTCTATCCTGAAGGTGGGTCCGCGAGGGGTCTGGGACCTTTAGGTTCCCACCCTCGGGTTCTCCTCCAGCCACCCCCTTCAGCCCATTTACAGCCAGATTTCCTCCTCCATGGCCAAGGTTGCCTGGCCTCGTCCCTGCCCATTTGCCCAGACACCTTTTGACACACACCTACACACACCTTTGGCTGCATGGGACAAATAGCCCCCAGTAAATCGGGTGGCAGGCAGATGCAATTGGTGATTGCAGGGCCTGGGGGGGGGGCATGTGATGCAAAAAAAAATTAAAGTGCAAAAGCATCCAGATCTGTCACTAGGACTGGAGGGGAGGGGGAGTGGCAGCAAGAGTAGCAGCTGCGAGAGCCACTGTGGGGAGGACACAGGTAAGAGTGTGTTAAGAGGGACCAGGAAGGGAGAGAGGGGCACCTCTAGGGAGCTTTGCAAAGACAGCTTGGCTTGCAATCAGTCAGCTCCAACTAAAGGGAGCAAGGCTGGTGCAGCTCCTGATGTTAGAGGAGGGGGAGTGGCAGGTGAATGGAAATGGTGCAATGTGGGGGGCACTGAACTGCCTGTTAGGTGTCATGCCAAAGTGGCAATGGCAGCTCCCCCCAAGCTGTTATCCCACTTTTTGTAATTTCAGGTTTAGTGAACTCAAAGATTCCTTCCTTTTTACAAAAGAAAGCATTTGGTTAGGAACAAGTATTCCAACCGATGACTGTAAACCACTTTTTTATATAAAATGTTCCTCATTACACTAGCCTGGCAAATGATAAAAAGCAAATCACTGTTTTGCCTGATCTCCACGCAGTACCAGAAGCCACACCAGTCTTGCTCTTCCTCCCTCCTTTAGTGGTTGACTGAGTTGTGAGCCAAGCCATCTTTGTGAAGCTCCCTAGAAGCATCTTCCTCCCCACAAACATACTCTCCCCCACCCCACCCTCCCCCCCCTCTCATGGCTGCCACTTCTGATCCCTCTGGTCCTGGTGACAGATCGGAATACTTTTGCACAAAAAAAATCTTGAAACACCTGCTGCCCCCTGCCAGTCCCTGCGATCCCCCAACATATGCTGACCACATAGCACCATTGCTTTTGTCTGCCACCCGATTGGCTGGGGGCTATTTGCCCTGTGCAGCCAAAGGCTGGAGTCAAAGGGTGTCTGGGCAAATGGGCAGGGACGAAGATTGAGGGCGGAGGGCCAGGAATGCATTGGCCATGGAGAATGGCTAGGAGAGGGCCAACCGAGGAGGAAAGCTGGCTGTAAATGGGCTGGGGTGGGTGGCAAAGGAGATGTGGCCAAAGGTCTGTGCCTAAACGTCCTATTCTGAGCCGTGCCGGGGGTGTGTGTGTTTCCTTTGTTCCCTCCTGCATCCGTCTCTCCATGCAGCAACATGACGTGCACAAGCTCTACAAGCTGGAGAAGAAACCAGTGCGCAGCTCCAGTGACCAGTGAGTGGGCTGGGGGGAGCTGGGAGGGGCACTCCACCCATGTCCCCTGACCGCAGCCTACCCTTCTCTCCAGGTTATGCTTCCTACTCCGTCCACGCCTCGTGAGTGTCCGGCTAGTGGCAGGTGAGTGGCAGGGAGTGCCTCCTGGGAGAAGTGGAGGGGTCCCATGGAGGCGCGGCTGACTCAGTGCTTCTTGTAGAATTGATCAACGCCGACAAAGTGGCAGGTCGGGTGCGCAAGTACAAGATCATCTTCAGCCCACAGAAGGTGAGGCTTGCTGCTGGTAGTGGGGCAGATAGCCTCAAGTGTTGGGTAAGCCTGGCTTCCCGGGAGTGGGGGGAGGGAAGGTCACATGGGGTTGAGCTTTTTAGAGGTATTGGTCAGCATGTCAGCTCACCAGACTCCTGCTGCCTCCTAGCAGAATCCATCTTTCCCATTCCAGGACAGATTACCTAAGGGGTGGGGGCAGAAATGGGTTTCAGTTTCCTATCCACAAAACTTCTGGCACATCAAGTGGGTACTTTGAATTAGGACAACAACTTGTGAGAAACTTATAAGGGATGGGGAATAACATAGAAGCATTGCACTAACCCACTTGGAAAAAGTTTTATTCTCCACCTCTATTTGTTGAGATGGAAAGAGATGTTTCAACCTGTGCTGGTTTATCATGCCAACACTCCCCTCCAGTTCAGTTTGTCAGTTCATCTTGGGATTCCAGTGAGATTGGTAGAGTGGCTTCTTGGGGTTGCATGTGTGTGTGAGAGAGTTTCAGAGGCTATTGTAATGCACAGGAAAGGTAGCTTTCCCTTTCTATGTTTCCTTAAAATGGGTGGGGAACTATGGCCCTTTTATGACTTGTGAACTTCATCTCCCATGCTGGCTCAGGAATTCTGAGAGTTCCCCACCTCTACCTTAAAACCTGCATTATTAAAACCCCAAATTCAGAAATGAATTCCAGGAACATGAGATTCTGGAACAATCTTTAGGTTAAATCCTTGTGTGGTACTGGTCAGAAATGCTCTGACTGTCTTGAAGGCAGCACCATACACCACCCTTGCAGTTTGGATTATTATACCTTTGTCTGGATTATTGAGCCTCAACTGATAAAGGAGGTTTGTGCCATAGAGGGCTCTTGGCCAGGAAAGATTACAAAAGCCCTTAAGGTCTTTGAGGCTTCTGAGTATGGCACTTTCATGGTTGGCTGTTTTCTCCTGCAGTTCTACACATGTGAGCTGGTGTTGGAGGAGGAAGGGATCTATGGTGGTAAGTGTTGAGAACTGGGCCCAATGTATCACAGCTGGATGCCTCTGTTAAGCCGAAAAGTATGGGGAGAAGAGGCTTGGGAATAGATGGGAGGTGATGATTCAGCTGGTCCCTCTTCCTCTAGACTCAAACTTCTGGCTCAGATTGTGAAAGGCAGATAGGCATCCAAACAATATCTCTGACCCTGTAGATGTGACCTGGGATGAGTGGTCCTTTTCCCTTCTCCCTCTGGATAATGACATCATCAGCATGGAGCTGCCTGAGTTCTTCCGAGATTATTTTCTGGTTAGTATTATATTTGGTAAGGTCGTTTATGCTAGCTGTGATTCATGAGTGGTTTCTTGCTATCTCACCAGAATCAACAGTATCTTGGAGACTGCATCTTGGTCCCATCTCGTAAATCCTTGAGAGAGTCAGTTTGGTGTAGAGATTAAAGCCCCAGGCTAGAAACTGCCACGCTTGAGTTCTAATTTCACCTTACATGCAAAGGGGGTGGGGGGTAGGCACAGGGCCAGTTGCTTTCTCAGTAGAGGAAGAAGGAAGCAAGGGAAAATCACTTTCAAAACCCTACAAGAAAATTACAAAGACTTGTCCAAGGAGTTGCAGGAAGTCAACACTGCAAAGGCATGTGTACTTCATCCACATACACACAAATTGTACTTAGACTGATATACCGCTTCACAGTGCTTTTACAGCCCTCTCTAAGCAGTTTACAGTCAGCATATTGTTCCCAATAATCTGGCTCTTCATTTTACCTACCTTGGAAGGATGGATAGCTGAGTCAACCCTGAGCCTGCTCAGATCTGATCTGCCAAATTGCAAGCAGCCGGCAGTCAGAAGAAGTAGCCTGCAATACTTACATAAAACCTTTAGGACTTGAAGGGGATCTTTTAAAAAAATAACGTTTTACATTTATCAGAGCAGCAGCACATACTCTTAAAGAAAAATATTACATATTCACATAAAAATTATAAGCATTACATGTTTCTATAAAGAAATCTTTGTAATAAAAGCCACATTTAATTATTACCTACCAATTAGTAACTTGGCATTACAGTATTTGTCTATATTAGTGATACAGTAGTTGGCTCATATTGCAGATCATGATGCTTAACCATTAATTTGATTTCTGTTTTGACTGCGAATTGAGCAAATTCCGTTTGCTTTATGTTGGTGAGGAAGAGATTTCTGGGTTTCCAAGAGTCAACTATGCCCTCCGGGTTCCAAGGTTCCAACATTCCATTGACTTATGCAGGAAGCAGACCAGCGGTGGATCAACACAGTGGCCCAGGCTTTACAGCTGATGAACTCTCTCTTCGGCCCATTCACTGAGACTTATGGACTTGGGCGGTGTGCCAAGGTGCGGCAAGATCAACTCAGGCGGGTGGACTTGCTTGGAGAGAATGTGCCACAGAAAAAGAAATGGCTCTATGGAGGCTGTTGTTGGCTGAGCCATGGCTGAAAGTAAGGAGAAGGGGTGGCCCCATTTTGACGGAAAGCAGCCCTGTTTATGTAAAAGGCTCTTTTCCTTCCAAGCTACCCAAAACTTTCCTGAAAGCTTTGCTGTAGTTAGATGGTAAGATGTTGGCTCTTTCTTGTCGGGACAAAGCAGGTACCTGTCATTAGGAAAGTATCTTGCAAGAGAATCCTGCCTGTGATGTGGTAACCTGCAGGTCCTGTAAAGTGCAATGGGTTCATTTCTCCTAGATGGTCCATGCGCTTTGGCGTGACATAGCAGAAAAGAGCGAAGTTGACAACATTGATCGGAAGCCAGAGATTGGCCACGTCTTCCTTATAGACAGAGGTGGGTCTGGGGAAAGGGAAGAGAGAGGTGGTATCTGCCTAGAAACCTTCCTTGATTCCTGTGGGAGCTCCTACTAAGCCTTCTTTCGGTGCGGGTGCTGTATGGCAGCTTTTTGTTGGGGGGGGGGTGATTTTGGAAGTAAGAGACAAAATGCTTCTCACATACTTTAGTTCTTGGTTTCACATGTCCTGGAAACTGCCGGAGACCCAAG